GTGTGTGTGTGTGTGTGTACAGTGATTCTAGAAAGACCTGTGAATTCTCCCTAATACATTCCACTTTGAAAGTAGACTGAGGGGTGAGTGAGCAGCCTATGGGAGGACAAGGGAAACCCTTAACAAAAACCCTGAATATACAACAATAGGATCATAAGCCAGAGGCAGAAAAGGATCAATGGCCAACATAGGCCTTGCAGTGCCTTGTACAGAGCACTGAACAAGAGCTTAGAAATCTGGGTCCCAGAAAGGACTGCCCTCCAGTCCTGCCCAGGCTTTAGTCACTGTGTGGAGGGTCCCAGGAGGGGCTGCCCTCCAGCCCTGCCCAGCTTTCAGTCACTGTGTGGAAAAGCACATTCAAAGCAGCACTCAGAGTTCAATCACAGTTTGAGGGGAAGACAAAATTCTCTCACTGGATGAGACCTTGTAGGCACACTTATTATCCATCTGCCAGATCAAAAGCAATGGTGTAAGTCCTAGGTACATGGAACAGAAGATCCCTAAAATCTGAGAACAGAGGAACCACATCTCTCAGGAAATACGATGACCAATGGTGAACAGACATATTCTGGCTGAGTCTCTAAACCTCTAGTACAAAGGTGTCTCTTAGAATTCTGACAGGAAAATAATAATTTTCAAAGGAGTGAATTCAGGTTTGCCTCATACTTTTCCACAGTAAATTCAGTGGTGGAATGTTAAAATAGAGACTGTGTAAATCCTTATCAAAGTGATAAGGAAATTAGATTTTGAAAAAAGTCTGAAGAATGCTGTTGGGATGTGAAAGTCCAGCAAATAATTTGTTCAAGAGAACTGGGTTTAGATCGATGAGAGGTTTATCTTGGAAGAACAGAAGAGAGTGTCTAGCACTCGGTGAGGAAAGACTAAGAGTAGGGTAGCCCATAAGATTTGATCAGGTACTTGTGAGCGGAGAGAGGAGCTTTCCTGAGGCATTCATATGAAGGAGTTTAACCCAGGAAAGCTGCCTGAATAATAGTAAGTGGTTCCTCAGGGCTGCAACGTGAAACAGAAGGAAGAACTGCAGGTTGTTTGGAAAACTGATTTCCCAGAATCAAGGAGGGGTGTGAGTTAGTATGAATACTGGACTTTAGCCTCCACATGAATGCCAGGCACCTGGAGAATGAGATGCTGACGTTCAGCAATGTGGCTAGAATCCCTTTGCTTTCTCAAGCTGAATCATACAGCTGAGCAAATTCTAAGTGATTTGTGTACTGGTGAGCCTTGCCTCCAGCTTTCAGGCTCCTGAACTAACCCAGCCCAGAGGTGCTTCAATGACACACCCTGGGATCTACTCTTTATGAACCTTGTTCTTAGATCCCAGCTGCACAGTGGTGTCCCTAACTCTGGAGAAACGCCACTGTATAGACTATTTATTACCAAATCTCTAAAATGCATTTGAGCCTAGAATCCCAGTTTCTGTAATGGCCTGCAGCAACAATTTGGTTGTGGAAAACACTACCATACACTGAAATAAAGTTGATTTCAATACATATGTAGCCAATAAATTATATATATATATCACAATATAAAGTAAGCAGATAATAAAGGGACAGAGAAAGGTGACGATATCTTTGGGACCTGTGAAGGAGTCTTATTCACTCCAGAAACAGGGTTATTTGCTGTTGAAAACAGCCCAAGGTCCTTTCCATTTCTCCTTGAGGTGCAGCCTTACGGCTGAGCTCCACCTCTCTCCCAGCCCAAGATCTGCTTTATATCAACCTGTTGTAGACTGGATTAGTTCCAGCTGTAGGATGGAAAGGTACAAATGAGGAGAGGGACTTGCTATTAGCCTTTTGTTAACGGTCGTTGGGCCCCCCAGCTTTATTCCTGTAGCTGTTAAAGTACTTATATTGATATGTAGAACCATTGGTCTTAGTTTTATACAAGTGTTAAGAAGAAGACAAGAAAACAGGACTGAGTCTAATCAATACCAGTAGGTTTTCACTAACTCCTACACATAAACTGGCATTTGGGCCTGGTTGAGATGGACTTGGGGTCCTTAAGGCCCCAAACTTTGTGATGAAACAGCATCAGGACATTTGGAAGAAGTCTTTTGATAAGTGGCCTGGGACCCAAAAAGAGGCAAAAGAAAGGTGAGTTTAGAGAACATTTTGATGTTACATTTTTTTTTAGTTAAGTTTAGGCTTTTATAATCTTAAATGATTCTTAGGGTGGGGGTAGGGGAGCTGGACCAAAACATTATTAGCTCTGTGTTCAGGAAGAAATGTGATACAGTTGGGCTTACAGTTTGCAGGTGAGTGAGCTAAGTAGATCTGCAGGATGAATGTTCTGCGTAAAATTCATTTTGTGTCAACACTCCATTTAACTGAATGCATGCCTATTGGCAAGGTTATCCAACTTACTGAAGTAGTTACAAAATTATGGAGAGTATTACAATTTAATGCTGAACAAGTTGTGAGCAACCAAATTCTGATTAAACATGCCACTGTGGGAGAACAAACCCAGGAAAGTAACAAAAACACATATTGTTTCGTTCCACAAGTGAAAGAATGATAAACAAATTGGTCCCTGTTTTAATGGAGTTCATAATGGATCTATAATACCAAAATGCAATGTCTTAATCAAAAGCTAGAGCAAGAGGAAAGAATGAGGGTTCATTAGACACCACGTACACTTGCATTGTCTTGAAATGTCTTGTGTTTCAAGAGAGGGAGCTGGCATAGGGGCTGGCATAGGGAAGGGAACACAGTCCACAGAATCTGAGAGACACAAGGACCAGCATCTATTCTGCTTAGATAAGATACAGCTTGAGAAAATACCCTAATTGCTGTGAGGTAGACTTCCATTTCATAGCTTGGGAGAAATGATGGTGTTGTACATTATGTTATATAACAAGTCTTCAATAAATGATAACTATTCATCTGGGTATGAAAATAGAAAAGAAGGAATGAGGCACAGAAATGGGGAAACTGTATTAGAGCTTTGAAAATCAACAGAATAATTCTGAGAAGTTTTAGTTAATTTGAACGCTATCATAATTGCTTTTAACAAAAACAAAGGATAGTCCACCTTCAGTAAATGTATCATTAGCAAAGCATTTTACTCCAATCAGTATTCTTATATCTTAGAGGATTAAAAAAGAAAACTTTGTCATTGATAAACCTTTGATAAATCTGTTTTCCAAAGCATACAATCTCTTTTCTTTCCCATTTTGTTGGATAAATTTTTTAATTATACTGTGTAGCAAATAGTTGATCCTGAAGCCTTCAACATGAAGCTTCATGTCTAGTCAGGTATGTCTACATTCATTAGAGCTGGAGTAAAAGCTGCAAACTCAGAAAATCTTGGTGGTTTTAACAGCACATCTAGAATTTCCCCTGGAAGCTGCCATTCTAAGCTGTATGATCCATGTCAAATGGGGCAAATTTTGGGTAACTGGGAAGACAATACTCTCTGCAGAAAAAAACTTGAAAAACTGCCGTTGATAAGACCAGTCTTGGTATGACAGCCATGGGAGTCAGGCTCTGTGATATTTTTCTGCCTCTACTGGAGTCAGGTGCCTTTTCTTGGCCTCAGAGGCAGGGAGCACAATCTGGATGTGACTATAGTCTTATGCCTTCTAGGCCTCACCTTCTGCCATCTACCACCGTCCTATCAGACAGGGGCATCATCTTAGGGAAAACTGTTCAGGGATTTCTGGTGGCAAAAAATTGAAAAATAATGGTTATACCTAGAACTGCTTTAATTAGACCAGAATGTTTTTTGAGACAGTCTCATGTAGTCCAGGCTGGCCCCAGACTCTCTACTATAACACAATGACCTTGAACTTCTGATCCTTCTGCTTCTACCTCCAAGTGCTAGATCACAGGCCGCACCACCACACCTGGCTTCAGAATAGGATTTCATAAGGAGAATGTGACTAACAGTGCCTTGGTCACTTGTAAGTATTCTTCTTTTTCCATCTTACAGTACACAGAGTTGTACACCAGTTGCCAAAGATATTAATCATCTCAGGCATGAGTGAGCGTTTCTCATCACGACAGGCTGGCAAGTCTTTACTACGTGACTCAATTTCAAATTCTACCACATGCTATAATATTGTGGTGGCGTCTCTAGAAGAAAATCAGACTACTCATGTGGAAGGAGAACAGTGAACCCTTTGTTGCCTTATTTTTCTGTCTAAGTGCTACTTTGTGAATTGGAATAGTTCACAAATTTTTATATTGCAAAATTTAAAATGGGTAAAATATAAACTATGAAGTACCATCTCCTAACAGTATGGTTCCTCTCCTATCTTGGGCTTAGAGAACATTATAAATAATATGTGGATATTTGAAATGATTTATAAGAGAGCTTTCAACTTTGCACCATTTTGGCCTGGATGGTTCTCTATAGTGAAAGGCTAGTTTGTGCACTGTAGAAGTTTAACACTATCATTGGGGCTCTATTTGCAAAATGCCATTAGCCTCCTCCAGTTGTGATGACCAAAAATACCAGACATTACACACATGCCCTGCTTATCAAATTTAGCACCCTGCCCCCCCAAGTCAGAGCTACTGACTTAAAAGTTTGCACACTTCTCTAACTCCTTGGTAGCAGACAGTAGGGGTAGCATATTTCTCTGTTGTTCACCAGAACTGAAACACAACTGAGGACATACAGGCAATGGTTATCATTAAGCAAAACCACTTATCAGTCAAAAGGATGTATTTCCTTCCTCTTGTCCACCTGAAAACCTCATCTCCCTTAGGCATTTTCTCACAGAATGCTCACACAGAACTCCGACCTCCTACCTTTATTTTCTCAGACCAACACACACACACACACACACACACACACACACACCCAAACAAACAAACAAACAACAACAACAACAAAAACCACCAAAGGAAAAGTCACCCTGTATACACTAGTATCAGTTATGGGATCATTCCTTGCTATAAAGTTTCCCCCAGAAGTTAAAACACACTCTGTTGTTGAGTGAACCATTGTTGTTGATTACCAGTGAGAAAGCAACTTACTGTTTGAGGAATCAGCTTTTCGGAATCTGGTCAGGTCAACGTTGGGTGGTCTGCTGGGTTTAGGTGGAGGTGGGCCCAAGGTAGACAGGGGAGGCAGTGGCTTCTGCTTTGGGGCCGCAGAGTTCTTGTCTCCTTTTACCTTTTCTTGACTTTGGCCCCATGTTGTCCCCACTGCCAGCTTGGAAGGTGCCTTAGGGAATCTGGCCGACTCTTCCTGATTGACTTTGCTCAGGAAGATGTTCTTCGTGGCATCTATTTTCCTATCTTCTTTTTTTTCTTCAGTGTTTCTGGGGAGGCCTGGGCTCCCTCTGCTTGAAGCAGGCTTCAGAACCACACCAGCAAATGGTGAACTTGCTGTGTCATCTCCTCGGTCTTTACTCTCAGGGTCTTCCCTGGCTGGTTTTAAAGGGCTGCTCCTGAATTTGGCTCCTGGTGGCACTGGGGGTCCTTTTTGTGCAAATGTGTTCTTAGTGGCGCTCTCATCTTGCTGGGAGTCCTCTGTACTCAGGGATGACTTCTGACCAAAAGTATGTCTGGGAAATCGTGGTTTGGGGTCAGTATCTTGTGATGCTGGCATGAACTTGCCTTTAGCTCCAGCCAACTTTGGGAACCCTGGCTTCTGATCATTTTCTGGAACTGGAGGAGTAGACCCTGGTTTGGGGCCTAGTGTCTTTGAGTCGGGGTCTTGGTTCAAATTGTGAAGTGATGGTTTATTCCCAGAAGGCCGTGGAAACACTGGCCTGGAATCTTCTTTGGGTGGGTTGGTGGGCTTGGGGCTAAGAGGTTTCAGAAATCCCACTTTGACCTCAGGGTCTCTAGTGGCTGAATTGGTCTGTGTTCCAAATCTTTGGGTTACTCCGGTAGGTTTTAAAAACGGGGGTTTGGGCTCCTTGTCACATTTCTCCTCAAAGGAAGGTTTCAGTGCCACAGCTGGCTTTGGTGTCCCAAACTTAGGCAAGTTGCTGGGTCCTGTGGGAGGGGTGGCATTTCCTTGATTGTCGAATAAGTTCTTTTTCGCTTGTATTCCTGAAGGTGAGTTTTGTCCGGTCGTTTTGAAGGGCCTGCTGCTGACTGAGATCTCCTCTTTCGGGTTACTGCCTGTGTTAAACTTCGCCATGAGGGACTTCACATCTGTTTTTCCATCCTACAAACACAGGGAACAAAACCAGCTGAGAGGCACAAGTCTCACTGATAGTTTAAAATACTACATCTTCAAGGGCTTCCTGATTTGTGGCCAGCAGTGCTGCTGATTGGGTAGTGAGCTATTGTAACATTTAAGTTCCTCTATGGCAAAAATAAGTTGTGAGATTCTTGAGGGGGGAGGTTATTGTGTATAGACTTCTTTTTTGATTGTTTTACAGTGGCTTGCTTGTTTTTCTTAAAGAACTTTTTCCTGTCCTCTCACTGTCAATTATCTTGTTGAATTTATTCTGACTTGATATCTATCTACCTTTTGCTCTTTTTGAAAACATACAGAAGTCACTAACGAGTGAATTCTCTCATATTTTACAATGGAGACTCTTAAGTGGAAACTGAACTTAAAAATGAAAGCATACTCTCCTGTAAAGTTAGGCTGCATGCTTTGTACAACAAAGTCATATTTAGCATCACTGTGGTTGGCTAGAGCTTTCTTGTTCCCATTGCATTTAAGGTCTGTTTGTTGTCAGGGAGATGTGGCAGAACATCTCAGCTCTTCTTGAAATAATAGAATAGGGTCTTCTGATTATTTATAAATATTGGGTGCTAATTGTTTGACTGTATGCTGACTAACAGACCACGGTGTGGTGTAGAGGCACATACAAAAAGGACAGGGGCAGCATCAGAGACTGCTGGGAAGTTCCACCTCCAGACCTTCCACCTCCTATCTTGTCTCTTCCATGATGATTGTTATCAGTCCTCTGAGGTCCTGCTGTACTTGTCCTTGCCTAGAATTAGGGAATTACTTAACAAAGACAGCAGTTATTTACCTTTCTATGTGACTATAACCCAATTTAACTTGGGAGAATTAATGGTGTATTTTCTCTGTCTCTCAAAAGCAAGTTTGCCGGGCGTGGTGGTACACACCTTTAATCCCAGCACTTGGGAGGCAGAGGCAGGCGGATCTCTGTGAGTTCAAGGCTAACCTGGTCTACATAGTGAGTTCCAGGGCAGCTGGGGCTACAGGGAGACCCTGTATCAAAAAGACCAGAAAAAAAAAAAAAAAAAAAAGCAAGTTTGAGCTGTGAACGTGGGTTAGTTGTAGAATGCTTGCCTAGCATGCACAAGGTCCTGGGTCTCATCCCTAGGATTTCATAAAGTAGGTGTTATGGTACTCACCTGTAATTCTAGAGGCATAGGCAGGAGGATCACCTATTTAAACAGTTTAAGATCTACATAGCAAGTCAAAGACCAGCTTTGAGGGGAGGGGCTGGAGAGATGGCTCAGAGGTTAAGAACACTGACTGTTCTTGCAGAACTCAGAACCCACACAGCAGCTAACAGCTGTCTGTAACTCCAGTTCCTGGGATCCGACAGCATCTTCTGTCCTCCATGGGCATTGCATGACATGGGTACACTTACCTACAGGCAGGCACAACACTCATACACATAAAATAAAAATAATAAATAAAAATATTTTTTTAAAAAGACCAGCCTGGGATACATGAGACCCTATCTCAAAAAAAAAAAAAAATTGAAAAACAAAAACAACAACAAAAACAAGGATGTTAAGGAATTGGTTTTTGTAGTGCTTTTAGAAATATTGGAAAATTTGAGGCTATAAAAAGCATCACTGAAGATAGATACATGACTGTGACAATCTTGCTTTATTTTTCACAATGAAAATATTTTTCCTCCTCACAGTCTCTCCCAATGGTCACCAAACAACACTTGTCATCTTTCAAGGATCCACTCAAACAACAGAAAGCCAGTTCTGACTGGGGAGATTTGCGCTCTCCTTAACTCACGTGGTACTTCAAGCCCTCCACGCGGCTCCACGTTAGCTCTTACATGACCCACACTGTAGTGTCCATGTGTTGCTTCATCCTAACTACCCCAGCTTGTTCTTATGACAGTTCTAGCACAATATCTAACTTCTTTTCACAAGAAAGGAAACTGAGGCAGATAGTGCAGGAGGATACTATACAAAGAGCACGTGTGACTCTAACTCTGCTAGTGGCACCTCGGTTGCATCATCTATAAAATGGAGATAATCACAGTTGCCATATACATTCCAGTATGGAATTTGTAGAGTGCCTACCTGGTCCCCGGCATAGGCTCAGTCTACATGGACAGTTACTCTTAAAACTATTAAATAATGTATTTATGGGCTCACATGAAGGCCAAACTCAGGTCCGTCAAAGGCTCCAACATCCAGAAATTGTCTCATTCCTTTCTGTGTCCCCATAACACTTTCATCAGGGCCCAGCTCCATCAGCATTTTATATATATTTGGGGAGAGTTTGGCCTTGAACTGAATACTCAGCACACTGACTTGGTGAGAAATAGTATTCTGGGCAAGAGTTTGTCCTCATAGCAAACTGTAGTGCGTGGATGTTTGCAGCATGGGGGTGAAGGACTGAAACAGGAGGAGAAAGTCTAGCAGCAACTCCAGCTTGAGTACTGTCTCTTCTGTTCGCTTCCTATATGTGCGTTCCAAGGACCCTCTGCCACCCACCTTGTCTCCTTTTATCCCTTTTCCACCACTATGATTTCCTTCACTTCTCAAGGAATTTCTCATGGTGATAGCAAGAAGACAGCAGAACTGGGGAGACTTTGGGTGTTCGGGGAGGAAACGGGAGAGGATAGGTTATTTCTGAACCTCTAGGACATCAGCACAGGAAGCTTTGCATGAGAAAGATAAAGAAGGACCAAGTACTAGAGCAGAGGCTGGAGCTCTGTGGGAGAGCGTGTGCTCAAGATAGGCAAGGCCTGGCAATTCAATCTCCAGCACACACACAGACATACAGACACATATACACATCCATGTTCACCCACATGCACACACACACACACAAACAATTACAAAAATTTGCTCTCTACTGAATCCCTGCATAAATGTGGATGTACTGATGACATTAACAATTAAAATCTTTGTGGAATTATTAAAAAAATTGTTCTTTACTTGGAAGGAAGTCTGTATCTGAGGAGGAATTCTTTGATTCTGGACTTTTTCTATATTTTGTAATGTATATTCTAGATCTATAGATCTATAATTGATTGTAGATTTTTAACACAAGATGGAATAGGAAAGCAGTAAAAAGCCTGGACTTGGGACCCAGGTGGCAGGCAGTATCAATGCGTTTGCTTATCTCCGTAACTACGCTGTAGGACATAGAGAAACTAGGATTCCACAGCACAAAATGGTGTGTAAATCACTTTAGCGAACACAGACACATAGGAGGGCTTTCGTCTTATGTCGAAATGAAACCTTACAAGTTCTCCAGCCTCTTTTCTCACTGCTCTGGTGAAGAAATGGAATCCTACTCGGTTGTAGCAATAATCACATCTTACATTTCATGGGGAAAACCCTTGAAATACCCCAAACTATTGTCAAACACCCTATGTTATTTTTAGTTTAGAAAACGTGGAAGTTGTGGATTTGAAATGGAAGCTTAAGTCTCAGCTGAAAATCCAGACCCAAGAGGACTTCAGTGTTTCTGTTAAAGGCACAGGCTTCCAACTTGACTTTGCCACTTCCATGGGATCTATCAAGTTATTAACCTTTCTGAGCCTCAGTTGTCTCCATCTCTAAAATCAGGACTCCATTTCCCACTGGGTCTTTTGTTTTTTTAAAAAATATTTTATTATTTTTATTTTATGTGTATGCATGTATTGCCTGCATGTAGGTAAGTGCACCTGTGTGGTGCAATGCCCATGGAGGTCAGAAGAGGCTGTCAGATCCCCTGGGGCTGGAGTTACGGACAGTTGTTAGCTGCCATGTGGGTGCTGGGATTCGAACCTGGGTCTTCTGCAAGAATAGTCAGTGTTTTAAGCTGCC